AAATTTGGCGGCCATTTTGAAAAACGGCCGCCATTTGTATACAAGGAGTAAAATCAAGTGTCAACAGGGCTTAGGGTGACCAGAAGGAAATAATTAGGATATCTGGCTATGTGGATTGCTTCTAACATTCTACTCCCCCTAACTCATTTTTTTCAGATTTTTTTTCTAGTCTAATAAAAAAGCAACGAGTATAAAAAAAGAAGCCAATGCGGTTTTTGCTTGTATCCTTGGGTTAAAAACACTTTTCATATCCTCGTCCTTTGGATGGGCCATTTAGCTGTCGGTCCCTCATGCATCATAGCGCACGCATACAAAAATCAACTAAGTAATTAGTATGGGATTGTCTTCTGGTGTACTCACAATGGTAGACCCTGTACTCCAACTGTTGTGTGCCTCTAACGGCCTAATCCAGCCCAATCAGAATATCCTTGTTGCTTTGAACAAGAATCTTTAGCATGAAATACATTTGAGCTTTTAAACAAAAGGAACATTTAAACAAAAGAATACAAATGGACGTAATTAAGTTACCACCTACCTTGGAACGTGAAGAGGAACGCACCAGCAATGGCCAGGTTGGACAGAAGGATAGTTGACCTCGCACAGCATGTGAAGATAGTGAAAGGATTTAATAGGTAGCTACAAATAAACATATGTTGAAGAAAAGAACAGAAAAACAGTATTTTTACAGTAATTTTCTACTTTTTTCTTTTTATAGTACTCTTACTGTAGTACAAGTACATTTAACATTTTTTGTTGGTTGCACACTTTATTACACAATGGTTGTATAAATCAAATCAAACTTACTGTATACTTTGCCAAGAAGTACACAATTGTGGGTAGGCAGGGTTATAGAGGTAGAAAACTGAGGATTGGTGGTAGACATTTTAAGAGTGAATGGGTGAAAATTGGTAAATATAAATAAGAGTGGATTTTAAGGATGAGCAAGGAGGTTGATAAGGGTTGAGTAAAAGGCTATGAAATTAGCTTTTGACTGGGTGAAAGAGTTCAAGGTCTGCCCACCATGTACTGTACGCCTTAACTTAAAAATTGCTTAAAATTAAAAAGTCGATTGTATGCATAAACCATCTATGACGATTTTAAGCTAAGATCTTGCTAAGATGGTTTGATAAATCAGCTTTAGATATTTGCTTAGGGACTTTTTTGACCTAAGACATTTGCTAAGCTGAGATTGATTAATCCCGGGCCAGAAACTTAGGTGGGGCCCAGAATGGCTAGACCTTCCTAATTCTACCACTATTGGTGCATTTGTTGAAGTATTCAGTGATCCTACCATCAAAATCTGAAAATTCTTTTAATTCATTTGATAATGATATTTGATAATGTAGTAATGATATTTGATAATGTAGTAATAATGTATGTAATAATGTAGTATGTAATGGTAATATTATTTACTGTACCACAAACAATTGATAATGATAATGATGTGCCAAGAAAAAGTATTATTTTTATTTTCATTTTTTTTATATACACTAAAAAATGACAGGATAAAACATACTGCTCTTTAAAATTCACGTCTCATTATAAAGCCTAGTGTGACGAGTGTGACAGGATTCGAACCCAAGCATTTTAACCAGCAAGTTATACCACCATTCCAAATTTCCATAATTCACTTACATGTAAAGAACAAGCTTTGGCACGTCTAGGTAGGCTGTCTGTTTTACACACAACATTTCAACATCCTTTGCATATCTGATTTGTTCCTTCTTCTGACGTTTAAGCTGAAAGTACAAAAGAGAAATTACAGACTTTGTTGGCCAAATGATCTGGAAAAATTTGTGGTGCAGGTCTAGGCAATCTTTTAGTCTTACCTTGAGTTTGGGGGCAGCAGACACAGCAAGAACATTTGCTAAGTATTAAAGTGATGCTCTAAACACTAAGTCTCTCTACAAGACTAATTTAATGTAATGTAGTTAGATTTGTATAGCGCTTTTAAAAAGCTCATAAGACTAGCTTGCACAGTAACTTGCTTCTCCCCTAAGGGTCTCTTTCCGTCTGAGCTACCCGGTAAACTGGTACCAGTTACATTTGTCTGTCCACAGCAGGGGCTGCATGGACGAGTACACTGGGGTAACCCCCTACTTGTCTTGAATGTGTATGATGTACTGTGTTCTTTAAAGTGCACATGAGCCAAATAGTGTACACTGGACCTTTGTTTTATAGTCCTTATCCGAGAAGACTTGTTCCACCACCAGAACTGTGCCCTTTGAACCAGCGCCGATATTATGGCTGTATGTGGTGGCGCCCCCTGCCTTAAACGATCGGCCATTCAACAAGCAGCCAAGTTGTTTTAGTTGTTAAGGAATACCATGATTTGTAACAGGATTTGAACCCAAGATTCTGGGGCTGGAAGGGAAGTAACTTAACCAAATGTACCAAACTGCATGGCTACCTCATGAACTTATGGGACTACCACTTTGTAACAAGAGCATCCATTAAATTTATTTGACAAAGTACAGTACTTCACGAATTTTAATTATATTATTGAACAGGCCCTAGTACTGTAGCACTGGGCCCTTGATAGCTCCAGGCCCCAGTGCTTTGCTCTGCCCATCCCTATGGCACTGCCACGTAAATTATGCAGTATTAAGCTCATCAATGGTATAAGGACACTTCCCAGGGGCAGATTTAAAGGGGGAAGCAGGCCGGCCCCAATGTTTTCACCCCACCTTTTGGAAAGTCAAAAAAAATTATTGCCCAAAAGGCATCAGAGGTTACTTTCGGGCGTCTAGAAACAGGAAATTTCGCGGGGGGTTACACCAGACCCCCTAAGGGTATTGTTATCCCCGCCTTTTGGACATCTCTGGATCTGCCCCTGCTTCCTAACTCATTCCTCATGTAGAAAGCTCCACCACATAAATCCAATACATTTATTTCAAAAGATCAGAAAAGAAATTCTATAAAAAGTAAAATGAGCCAGATTTCAAATTTTGCATTGATATTCGGCATCTAAATGGTAGGTCTCCAATTAAAGACCACTTTTCTGTGGTCCCAAATTAACAAATGTCTTTTATATTTATTATTCTAATTAGAAACCAAAGCTGCTAGAGTGCACAGAAACCCTGGTCCGAAAATTGGTCTCTAATTGGAGGGAGACCAGTAGCTCAGTTTCAAACAATGATGAACAGAGATGGCTTGCGACAGTCTCACCATGTAGATGACGCCGTGTTGTGCAGCATTATAGAGGACAACGCCAATAAACATATCAATGCCAATGAAGACAGCAGGTATGATGGCTGGTGATATGCTGTGTAAGAACTTGAACAGGTGAAGGCACAATGGCGTCTGAAAGAAAACAAATGTGTTTTTATTTTTACAAATCGATGTTTGCTATACTTGACGTTTTATAGTACTGAATGCTCAGTACATTAATAAAAATGCTTGTGAGAAAAAAATCTTGCAAGAGATTCGGGTGGGAATCAAACCCAATACTTCCAGATTACTAGCCTGGTGTCTTAACCACTAGAGCACCAATTTATTTTTATTTCTTTATTTAGGCACAGGGACAAGGATATGCCAATAGTGAACTCAATCAATCTAAGTGACAATTCTTCCACAAGACATTATGTGGCTTTGAAAGTGGAGATGTTTTAGTTACGAGAAAAAATCCTGTTGCCGTAATTGCTGGGATTAGAAGGCAAGCATCTTAACCTCCAAGCTATAAGTTAGTCACAATGATTGCAATAATATTCATCACAAAATATTATAATATTGTAAATATATTTCAGTAAAGTAAATAACTATAAATTAAACAAATATTTAAAATAAAAAAAATAAAAAATAATAACAATGGTGTTGGATTAGGGGAAGGGGTGGGCTTGGGAAATGAATAGGCAGAGGGAAAGGAATGAACACAGGCGAAGGAGTTCCCACAGAGAAGCTTAATCTCCAGTTGTACTAAAAAAAAAATGGGGGTTTTTTTTTGGGGGGGGGGGGGGGGGAAGAAGTCCTAAAATGTCTGAATACAGCTGAAAATAGCTCCGAAATTCCAGGCTTTTCTAGGCTCCAAGGGGATTAGCTCCAGCACCGGCCAAATTAAGTCTTCTTCCCTAGATTCCACTGACTTCCAGCAAAAATTTGTCAGACCTCTTTCGGGCTGCTTTGCCCCTTGATTTATCATAGAGCTACCACTGCTTTGGACATCATGTTTTCCTCCATGTATGGTTTATGTGTAATTTGCATGACACTGCTGCATTCACATCATATCTGAACCTAAATTTGGACAGCGTTTCCGGTGTGCTGGATGCCAGCGTTCCTATTTATTACATACTGATCTGATTTTCTGATCGATTCGGTAGGCTTTCTGATCCGAAAATTTAGATTTGGTGTGAATACACCTTAATAGTTTTCACAATGTGATAAGAATGAATAAATGATGTTTAATATGTTTAAGGATAATACTTACCTCATGAAAAACATCTCCTGCATATGGTGAGATTCCTTGCTCCATTAATGTTATACCTTCAATTACTGTGAATAGAATGTTTAAAAAAACGTGGCAATCAATCAAATTAATTAACATCAATCAACCCGGAATAGCCTACTCATGACCTGTTATGACATGACCCAAATTGCTAATACAGAAATTAACTATCATTAACTGTAGGCCTAGAAACATAAATAAATAGGTTTATACATTAACCAACATCCAGAACAACAAAAATTTTCCATTGGAATATTTGGTGACAATGTCCATAGACAACTCAGACTTGTCAGAATAATGATAAATTATAAAGTGACAACTAAGAAAAAGTGACCTACCAACTGTAAAGGTTTTTAATTATGTAGATGATACTGAGCCTCAAAAACCAGCTCAAATTTGTGCGGAAAATCGCTAGGAAAATAGGTGCACATAATTAATTTGAAGATTAGGTCAAAGCCTAATTTTCAGCAAAATCTACACGGATATTGGCCCATATTTTCCAAAAATACGCGGACGGATTTTTAGGCCACATTTTTGCGCAGAGAATATTCCCACGCAGGCCTTACTTTACAGTCTAGTGACCTACAGTATATATTTCCATCGTGTCCAGTTTGTTTGAAATTCCACAGCTGTTATTACGCTGTACCTGGAATTTAAGCAACCTACATTTTGCACTCAAGACATATCATTATGTGCTACGGAAATTTTGTATTTTACTACAGATAATTGAAGAAATGATTACTGAAATGCATCTTACTAACTTGAGAAGTCTGACATTTTGAACTCCATATTGTTCCAAGCACATCAACTCTTTCAAATAATTAGCCTATATTATACTTAACAAAAGCTTAGGGCGTCAAAAATTCGGGAAATATTGATGCGGGAATTTAAAAAAAAACTTTTTTTGTTGCATCAATTTTTTCAACAGCTTAAAAATAACAATGCAATGTTGTGACTTCAAATACATTTTCTTTAAAAAAACTATAAAATCAAACCAGTTTTTATACAATATTTACTATTTACAGACCAAATATAAACTAAAACAGTAAAATATAAACAAAAGTGAAATAATCTATTGTTCCGATTCAAAAAAAAAAAAAAAAAATAAAAACCCTCCCTCATCATTTTTTGAAAAAAAAAAGTGATTCTAATAATTTTTTCTATGTGTCCTTATATAATATAGTAGCATGCCTAAAAATCAGGCAGGCCTACTTATGCCTAACTTGCACACAGCTCAATATAGGCCTAGGCTTTAGCCCGCTAGCTTCCACTTTCACTCCAGCACAATGCGTCTGCTGACTGAGCGATCGGCCTCAATCATTATTATCAAAAATCCCACTTACTTCTTGTCCAAGATGTCAATGGAGTAACTACTTCGATTCTATCTGTTAAGATGCTTGAAAGATACGTTCTGAAGCAAACAAATCGCAGTAAAATAGCGAGGATAACGCTATATAAAACCGGAGCAGCCATCTTCCTAGGCCTGGGTCTCTAGGCTCCTAGGCCCTAGGTACAGTTTCGGGAGACGGTGCCTTCCTCCGACAGCGGTCGGTGATATGAATTCACACCGGCGAAGGTGGTGACTAAAAAATACTCAGAACTGTCTATGTAAGCCTAGATTCATGTGCCATATAATTTATTAAAGTTCCTATTTTATTATTTTCACATTACCGGCAGACAAATTAACATATATTCGAGAAGATATAATAATCAGAAGTTTATCATGGGGAGAAGCATCATCAGGAACATGAGCACATCTTGCTTTTCGCAAAATCGCGGTAACAACAATGGTTATCCGCCCGACCAACGTGTGATTAACTCAGACAGGGGTTGTTTGCACGGCCGCAGATCCAATTGAATTCTCCGCATTATTCGGGGCCGGCATTATGTAGGCCAAGGCCTCATTTCGGTATACAGTACCGTACTCGCGCAAATAAGCGCCCGGACGCTTAAAATATTTCTTGCACTTTCTGAGGGGCGCTTATTCAAACGGGGCGCTTATGAAAACAGAGTGGAAATTGAAGGGGCGCTTATGGAAATAGATGAAAATCGAATTCTTTAATGGGAAATTATTAAATTCAAGAGGCACTCTTTGAAGGAATTACGAATGGTGGTTAGGCGGAAAAGTCGTCCAGAGAACATGGCTCATGAAAAGAATGCGTGAATATTTACATAACAGCAAAATGGCAGATGCAATTACTAATTAGTGGTGGTGGTTAGCTTGTTGGCCATCGGCCGATTGAGATTAACAGGATGGCAGGATCATTGTATTTTTTATTTGAAAAATCAGATGAGAATGTGCTAAAGGTGCAAATTGTCGGAAAAGAAAAAGAGAAGTAGGACTAGTCATAGACAAATATGTAAAAAGAGTGAAGTTGGAAATATACTGTCTGTCCAGGGATCGGAGCTCTCACCTGTCCAAGAGAAAAATCCTCTTTTTAATATTGACAAGAATGTGTTTCCACTCTGCAGCTCAATTATGCCAACAACCACAGTCCCAGGATTGATTGGATTATTGACTTGCTAAAGAAAATCTTATGATATTAGGGGGCGCTTATTCAAACGGGGTGCTTATTCACGCGAGTACGGCATTCATTTCATTTCTTTTATTTCGTCTATTGAACACAACACATAAAGATACATGAACCATGAAGAGGTATAAAATACTGAAATTTTCGCATCACTGCCAACCAAGTGGCGCTAACGTGGTGTGAAGGACTATCACATTTATTTTTTCTGGAAAATGTTCTCAACAGATTATTCTACACCACTACAGTATATGATTGAAAAAAAATTGAAAAAAGTTTTGACCCCTGAAATCAAGATGGAAAAAAAGAGCCTATGGCCTATGCATTTAACAGTGCAGTACCACATAGTTTTCGTGTTATGTTCCAGGTACCGATAATTTGATTTCTCTTATTATAAAGTACAAGTTATGTTTTATAAAGAAGTATAGTATAGTAAATCATGTTTTTAATTTAAAACACAGGAAAGGCTCATGTAACTAAAACAGTGCTAAGTTTAGATACTAGGCCTACTAGTACTAATGTGTACTGCATAGGCCTATTTTAATACACTATAGATAGCCTATGCTTTTCTTTTTCCATCTTGATTTCGGAGGTCAACATTTTTTTTTTTCAATCATATACCGGTAGTGGTCTAGAACAATCTTTTGAGAACATTTTCCAGAAAAAAAATAATGATACGACCCTCCGTTATAGAGTTTTTTTAGATAACATGAGGACAAGAATTTAGCTTCAAAGCTTATCTTATTTATGTTGGTTACACCACTGACATGACTCTGGGTTGTTTGTCATCACTTAAGTTCAAGATGTCTACCATTCGTGGAAAAGGCATATTATCTATTTTAGACAGCACTTTCGAAATAATAAAAATTGATATAATTTTTATATTTTTTATTTGTGTAATACATGACTCCCGACATGACTATATTTTACATTACCAAAAACACTTTTTTATATACAGTAATACGATTATTAAAAAAAACTACATATTATTAAAAATTCGGTAAGCATAGGCCATTGCTCGGTGCTCAAAGGCATGAAACAACTACGGCGACCGTGTGAATAAGCTAGCATTTATGGTTATCCCACAGGTAACCACTGTCACGTGACAGTGTTACTATGTATCACATGACATGACATGTTGTTGATTGTGAATTTAATAAAGAGCGAGCGAACACACGGAATTTTATAAGTAAAAAATGAACGGAGTTCGCTTAATTTGTTTGTTGAGTATTGCCTATTTACATCTAGTCACAGGCAAGTATAGTATGTGCGTGAGTAGGTTGGTTTAGTTTAATTTAGTGTATATTAGAAAATGCTTTTTGATTTCTTCTATCAAGTTGATGCCTGCTTTGTGGATCAGGAGTCATGTCCTACCTTGACTTGCGTGGATCGCATGCATTGTTTTCGACTGATCCGTTTGTTGTCGAGTCTATGTTTGCTCGGCATATCGAGGCGTCTAGGCCCTGGCAAGGTCCAACTTCAAAAGACCTCCTGCACTATTTAATAAACGCAGGACCCTAGTTTCCAAAATAGTGTGTATAGTTGCCATTAATTGTCATGCATTACATCATTAAACAGAAATAAGTTTAGTAATATACCTATAGGTATATGTTTTTCCCCTAAATTTATTTCTCTTTATTTCTTTTATACTGGGGAAACCTTTCGGTGAATCAGATACAAAAAGACAATTTCAATTCAGTTGGCTTAGCTGTTAGTTTAAATTGTTTTTACAGATTATTGTTATAATAATTCCATTATTTTCAGGATCTACAACATTCAAACTTGCTTCTTATTACAATGATCACATGGTTCTACAGATGGCCCCTGAGCGGGCCAGTATCTGGGGTTATGCTGAGGAGTCTGCTGAAATTCAGGTTACACTCAAGGGGAAAATTTATAAAGCTATAACAACTCATAGTAAGACATAGTACTTTGTTATACTAGTACGGTAACAGTCAGATCACTTGTTATAGTCTATCTGATGATAATGATGATGTTGATGATGGTGATAATGATTATGGAAGATGATGATGCGGATGATAATATGGATGTGGATATGGCAGGACTTCTTATACCTTGTTTAGCGAACCATCCGACCACCCAACAATTTTATTTTCCGCCAGTTACAGTAGTGCAACCTCCACCACGAAAAACTAAAAATTTCATTTAAAAAAAATTTATATTTATTTTTATTACACCCTTTGCTCTTCTGATATCTTCAAAGATAAGATAAACTGTATATTTCTTCCTTAAAGATGTATTTTCCCTTGCTAATGTCAAAAAATCATAAAAAATAATTTTGAAATAAACTTGCTCATATTGCAATAGCATAACAATTATTGAATTAAAAAAATGTGTACCCTGATTTTTAAACCAAAAAAGTGACTGGAAGTGTTTCTATCATTTTCGCTGTAAACTGATGGGTAGACATTTTTTAAATACACTAATTTCTATGTTCAAGTTGATAACTTTTGTGTTCAAAATGGGCAAGTTAATTTCAAAAAATATTTTTAGAATGGGACAATACATCTTTAAATTTAAAGCATTTATCATTCTCATTACTATGCTGTTTTATTCATTAATAACAATTTTAATTTAATTTTCTCCTTCACCTAGATGATTTTGACAAAATCATTTTGCTAAATGAGAAAACAAAATTTTAATTTTATTTTTTCCACCCTCCTCTGACGATCTTTAAAAAAATATGTTTGCGAAGGTATAAAAAATGTCTCGCTTAAAATGGCTTGTCCAGTGAGAAAAGCAGTGTCATCAGCATCAAAGTCACAAGTCTGTTATTGCACAGGGGTGGATTTAGGTGGTGGGGGGGGGCAGCCCAAATCCCCTCCCCCTTTTGGGAGGTTAAAAAAAAGAAAGAAAAAGAAAAAAATTATAGCCCAGAACGCCTCAAATGTTATTTTCGGGCGTCTAGGACACAAAAATTCCGCTGGGGAATTTCCCCAGACCCCATAGGACAGTGATGTCTCAATCGGCCCAACTTTCGGCCCCCCCCCTTTTGGACATCTCTAGATCTACCCCTGCTGCATAGCACACTGAGCAACACACTTTCCAGGCCGACAACACTGGGCATCCGGAGGGGGACAAGACTTCTTTGTCGTGGAACCTTAAACCCACCAGTGAACTAAAAAAGAACATTATATTTTGCCTAATTTTTCTTTCAGGTTCATTCAGTGCAGATGCGATATGGAAGGTGACGTTAGACCCTGTTCCACCTAGTGGTCCATTTACAATCACGATATCCTCAATAAGTCATGGTATTCATGAGGTCATTGAGTTGAAGGATGTGCTGTTTGGTGATGTCTGGGTTTGTAGTGGGCAGAGTAACATGGCATTTGAAGTCAAACAGGTATTTTAAGATTTACTTTAATTTTAATTGTATGTATTATATGAATTTAATTTCTACAAATTGGATTTAAAGATGTCTTCCATATTTATATAATATTGACAGTTATTTTATACATAAATAAAGTAATGAATTAATTTATCTTGATTTTTAATCTTATAGGCTTTCAATGGAACAGAAGAGCTTCTAAAATCGTATGAATATCCCAATGTACGTGTTTTTGCAGTAGAACAGGTTGAATCCAGTGTTCCTTTCTATGACCTGCAATCTGTGTACCTACCATGGTCAAGGCCAAGTCCAGGTGTGTCTCGCATAAGTGAAAATTGAAAAAATGATGAGTAAAAAGATGGCTACACTGGGGAAAGCCATTGCCGACTGGGGCGGTATTAGCTCAGTCTGCAAAGAGTTGGAACTGTAATACGAAGGTCCCTGGTTCGGTTCCCATAGCATTCAACATTTTCTTTTCTCCATTTATTTTCTACAGTTTACAGATTATTTCCGTTTTAATGCCTACTTTCACACTTTTCCTTCCCCTTTAGGTCATCGATTGCTGCTTTTCTCCTCCCCCACCCCCAGGCAAATAGATCCTGGATCTGCCACTAAGATTTAAAATCGTTTTGTGAACTTTATCGTCATTATGTTTGATAATGATAACATGATTTTTTAAACTTACTTAAGTATAACACTAGTGAAATTTTATGTACACCATTAATTTTGTACATTACAACTCTTTCTTTCAATCTTTATTTCTTACAGAGGCTCTTGGTCAGAATACCGCGACTTTTACATATTTCTCGGCCGTATGCTGGTTTTTTGGCAGGGACCTTTATGACCATTTTGAGTATCCAATCGGCCTGATATCAACCAACTGGGGAGGTACTCCAGACGAAGCCTGGTCCTCTCCCGACGCCCTGGCTAAATGCAATATGACAAGGCAGAACTATGCTCAGAAGCTTGCTGAGGAACATGCTTATAAATATCCTCATGAATTTGCTCAGAAAGAAACTCAGGAATATGCTCAGAAAGAAGGGTTAGTTTTAATCAGTCAGAGCAATGAAGATAAAGTGCCTTGCTCAAGGACACAACCAAAATGTACAGCAAGAGATTGAAACCCCGACCTCGTGGTTAGAAAACCAAACCGTTCCCACTGCGCCAAACCATTTCTACATGTTACATTAAATTGAAGGCTATAATAATGTAGATTAATTTTATTATTACATTCTTATTGCAGCGACAGTTTTCACTTATGGAAAACAACTTTTCAAGGGCCTGCACAACATAGTGTTTTATGGAATGCAATGATACACCCTCTTCTCAATATGACCATTAAGGGGGCAATTTGGTACCAAGGTGAGTTGATCTTTGACCTTTCACTCAGTTATTTTGTTTTCCAAAAAGCTCAGTGCAAAACCTGAGATATCAAATTCTTTGCCCCTTTACCATAGTTGAAATCACTCATTGGTCGTTTCGCTCCCGAGTAATTTTGCCTGAGCTTGCTTTAATCTCCGTAACTTAACTGATGCTTATGATATTGCTAATAATAACTATAATGCTTACTTACTGCCCAGTTTAGTGTCTGTGATTCCCTATTTTATATATATTTTATATATTTATACATATATATAACATCTAGATGTGTATAAGAGACAGTATATATACAGTATTATATATTACCATTTTTAAAGTCAAAGAAGTGCTGTAATGTTATCATCTTAATTATTCTTGAATTTTATTAATTATATTCAAAATATTTTTTGATATTCTGTTATAAAAATTATTGTTATTACGACTATTACAGGGGAAGCTAACGCTAATGCCCCCAACACCTACAACTGTACATTCCCTGCAATGATCGATGACTGGAGAGCAAAGTGGTATATGGGTACCGGTGGACTCACAAACAAACAATTTCCTTTTGGATTTGTGCAGGTAAATTCACCAAATTAAATTCCAGATAACAACAATAATGAATATTGTATTTGTGATTGTACTTTTATGACTATTATTTTTTTTTTACCATCTCTGTCTCCTATGGTTTCAGCTGGAGAACTTTTGTTAGTCCTGTGTGCAATATTGCCTATGTTAAGCTCGATTTCTATAGAATCGCTCACCCTATCGGGATCAGGATGCATTACTATCTCCCCCGACGTAATACGGAAGGCACCCCAATTCGACTGCAACGCAATCGACAAAGTTGAACCAGGTTCAACCTTCCAGAAGACTGTCACCGATAGGGTGAGCGATTCTATGGAAGCAGAGCTTTAAAGAACATAGATCCGGCAGTACTGTAACGCAACAGATCATTTTTAATGACGATCCGCTAAAGACTGCTATTGATCAGCTGACAACGTGGTGTAGTCAAAGGCTCACATAAATCATGAGCATATGACTGGCTTTATGTTTATAAATAGAATTTAGAAGCATCAGGTAATTGCAAATGAAATAGTTTCCTTGAGTTTGACCAATCAATTTAAATTCATGGACACACTCCACCCAAAAAATGAGAAGCCAATCCTCAAATACGTAGTATCTATGCTCTGGAATGACCTTCCAGTTGATGTTCGCCAACATTACCAAATTATTAATTAAGTTGATTTTCTAAACCTTTTAATTTCATCTGTGCATCGTATTTAATAGTTTTTTTACTTTTTTTTTTATCATTTCTTTAATTTTCTTGTACTTTTTGTTATTTTGTTAATTTATATTTATTTTTTTTAATTTTTTACCAACTCTGCACCTTTTGAGAGACTATATTGTATTGAAAGAGCATTCCAGAATAAAAAAATATTTGTATAATTTTTAATTAAAAATAAATTTTGTAATTGAATATTGTATAAGAAAGTAAGAAATACAAATATAATTCATTGTATTAGCTAATCACTGAAGCTGATGGTGTCTTAAGTGTAGCATTGTTATAGAATCAGTATGCTATTTATAGATTATAATGTAATTGTTTCCATAGCTTTGCACATCAAATTCTGTCCAACCAGGATTAATTGGCAACTATCCCATTTTGAGGTGGCATCAGACTGCCGATTACGGATATGTTCCTAATCCAAGAATGGAAAATGTTTTTATGGCTGTGTCTATCGACCTACCTGACCCCACATCCATATATCATCCGTAAGTTGCTTAATTGATTTTTGAACTAGAGCAGCATAGCTTTAGTCGGCTAAACTGGTGGTAGCCTCTGTGTGTGTGCTGAACTGAGGAGATCCTTTTGTACACTGTCCGGTTCCGTCTGCTGCCCTCTTTGTGTTTCAGATAGTGGGCTGAAATGCAAGTGCAAATAAGTGCACCTTCTTTCAGATGAGATGTTTAAAGCATTGGTCCCGTGTGTATGTTAAATAATGCAATACTCTTTTCAGAAAAGTGTATGGGATTGTCTCCTGACCTACTGCAAAGTCACCACCAGAATAACCCCACTGGATATATAACTTTGGACTTTCATGGGTTGTCACTGATCACACCAAGTAACTCCAATCCAATCCTAAATATTGTATTTTCACTATGGAAGGTCAATTATGCATGCATTACCAACATTCAATCAAACAATCAATCGTTCCATTTTTATGGCGCCATTCCACCATTTGTTGCTCATGATGAACATTCTGTTCAGTTGAAACAGATACAGATTAAAAAATAATTTTTAAAATTGTAGTAAATTTTCAGGTGAATCAAACAAGATAGAGAATCATTAAAATTACAGACAATTATTTTTGTACTTATCATTTAGAATAAGAAATGGTATTACCTAGATAAACCAATTATTACCTACAGCACCCCTAAAAAAACAATAGAACCACCCATCTCAGTGCACAATATAGCTATGCTATTTAACACACAGACATGCAAATTCGTTTTTCCACCTGGGGGGGGGGGGCAATCCAGAATTTTTCAAACGGGGGTGGGAGGGCACAACATTTTCAGAACAGCAAAGTGAGTAGCACTTATTTCAATACATAGCATTGATATGCATTTAAATTTTAAAATTTAGTGGCAGAACAGATCTGCGCCTGTCCATCGTGACTGCCTTTCCTGTTGTAGTGCTAATAGTCCTCTATGTAAAAATATACCAGTAATCATACACAACACCAGTTGTTTTCCAGATTGATATTCATTCTGAACCCACCTCTTCCAGAATACATCCAAGATACAAGCAAGATGTCGGGCATCGACTTGCATTATCAGCCAGGGCCGTGGCCTATCAAGAAGATTATGTAACCTATTCGGGACCATTTCCAACTAAGTTTGCTGCCAGTAATGATTCACTTGCAATTCAGTACGATCATGGAAAATCCAACATCGCTATCATCAACAGTGATGGCTTTGAAGTAAGTCTTTTCTTGTGTACATAACATGTCTCTGTGATAGTTGTAAGGGAATTCGACATGAGGTGGGTTTGTGTAATGAGAAGGTGAGAGGATACTATCTTCAGAAATTGTATGATTTGTATTAACTTGAGTGTAATTTTCCTACTTAGCCAGTGGCGATGTCAGAGTCTGAAATCTGGAGGGGGGAGCAAGTAAGGGGCAAGATAAAATTTTAGAGGGGGAAATATGCTGTGGTGGCCTGAAATAGGCATGTTCGGGTGTCGCTCAAAATGTATTGAAATATGATAACTTAGGACTTTAAGAGGCTTGTTAATTAATTTTATAGATAGATGGTATACTAATATGTAGAAAATATATATCATATTTTTCTCCCCTACGAATTGTGGTTTTTCTACTTTTTCGGGGTGTGGTGGGAAACTGGGGGGAAAGAAAATTATCTGAGGGGGAAAATATTCGCTTGTGGGTGGGTGGGTGGTGCTACAAAGAAGAGTGAATGCATTTTTCGGAAAAGGCATTCCCCAAATTCCTTAAATATGCCCCTTAGAGCAGGTCAAATGTTAACTGTGTGTCTGCCCACCTAAGGTTGGTTCCAATTATTTATTATTCTAAACTAAAAACTACAGAATTGGGACATACATGAATTTTTTTCATTTCTTATTTCAGATCTGTTGCTGTCCAACAGGCACATCATGTGACAATTGGTCCCCATCAACAATAACAGACCAGCAATCACCTTCGATTCTTACTCTCTCACACAACTGTTCCACTGGTTCCATAACACAGGTCAGATACCTGTGGAGAGAATACCCATGTACATTCAAAAACTGCTCCATCTACAGTGTAGAAAACAAATTACCAGGGGCGCCTTTCATCTTGCCACTGAAATAAAGTCATATTTTTTAGCCCTGCACACACTGCGTCGATGGTCAACAGTTGACACGATTCCATAAAGAACACAACGCGACATGGCATATGCAACAGATTGATTTTAAAGCCAGGCCCAGAGGAAAAAATCTTTTGATATGTTGTACGACTAATTTTTCTAAGACACAAAAAGCATATTTGACAAAAAACTCAAGAACTGATAATGAGATACAGATTTTTGAATATTTAAAAACTGGGGAAGAAGGGGTGTAACCATCCCCTTTTCCACCTTTTCCTCCTAGTTTTAAATAAATTCTGTTTCTCAATAACCGTTCCCAAATTCGTTCGTCAAATTTGTTTTTTGAGTCTTCGAAAAATCAGTTGCACAACTTATAAAAAAAAAATGTTCCTCCAGAGCCAGGTTTTAGTAATGATCTGCTTTTAAGGCTGCGTTCAGACCTTAGCGATGTTAGCCTTATCTATCACCGTGTGTACATTAATCCAAGGCGTAGGCAGCGGGATGTCCAGACTGGGCAAATAACGTAATGGTAGTGTAAGTGTTCATGCGAAATATATAAATTCGTAATCATGCATTTTATTTCCTGTTTACATGTAGACTTATTGTGATTGGTCAGATCCTGGCCGAGTTCATAATCATTGATGCATGACTGTCATAGCTCAGTGGCGTACGCTAATCTGGGTCTGTTGGTGGATTATCATACGCCAGCGATTGCGTATTAATACTGGCGTCCACTACGCCGCACACAAGTTCACACCATTCGATTAACATTAACGTATCTCTCAGGTCTGAACATAGCCTTAATCATACAAAGCATTTGCTTGTAGGGAATGTGTAAGGTTGTATAATTTTCAAAATCAGGTATCAGAGAGATGAAAGACAACCATCCGCCACCTTGTGAAAACTTGGGGGGATGCAGATTTAAAAAATGTATGGAGACAAATTTAAGATTTGGTGAAATAGTGTTTGGTGAATGGTAATAGGATAGTGTTTGGTGAATGGTTAGGATTACTACAGCCAATGTCATAGCCAGGATTCCCAAGTAGTGTGGGGCACTTTAAGAGTGAACCCAATCCAAGGATGAACCCATTTTAAAAGTGGGCCCATTTTAAAAATATTTACCTATTTTATGCATGCAGAATGTATGACCCAATTCATTTGTACAAACTGAATAATGTGGACAATTTTGAAACCTGCAACCCATTTTACACAAAATAATGTAACTAATGACTGTGGATCCACCTTTAAGAAGTACAGTAGACCCATTTAAAATTATTTATCTATTTTATGTTTAAAACTAATGTTCAATCAATTCAGTTCAAAAAAGACATTGATTTACTTCCTCAAACTATCTTAATAATATTAATTATGGGAAATTATAATAAAAAGTTAATCATGTGGTTTTTGTATACTAAAAATGTGGACCCATCTTTTAAAACATGCACCATTTTATGCATATAAACAGAATACTGTGGAACATTTTAGAAATTTAGACTCATTTTAAACCTAAAATCTAATGTGGACTCATTCCATGGTTAAAATTGTTGCCCCCGATTGTCCCAATTCCTGGCTACGGCGCTTTTTGAATTTAGTAAAATGTGTATATTCATTGCATAAATATTGATGTAAAAACACGATGGAACTGTATACAAGAGTATGAACAACAGTAATTTGTATTTCATACATACGTATATGTTTAACACGTTTGTATTCTGTAATTAGTAAAACAGTACTTTTTGATTATCGACATATTTGAAATTGGCTTTCTAAGGTGATATTGTATGCAGTAATTATTCAAGTAAACGCCCTGAGACGTTTATTGTTGAGAAGGGTTATTGAGGGGGGCGTTTATTCGAAGGAGGCATTTACTTTTCGATATAGTTGTATATTGGCTTTAAGACACATTTCTATTTAATACACTCCAATTGCTGGAACAAAGCAGTTTCCAAAATACCATGTGTTTGCAACCCAAACGTGAGAGTCTGTTCCCTTGTTTTTAATTAGGCCCTACTTACTTATTTTTAACTTTAATTAATATTACCAGTAGATTGGAAACTGCCAACTTTGGCCATTTATTGAGATTATACCGTAGAGGAACAATGAAAGAAACCATGTCTGTCTTGTTTATATTTGTTTAATACAAAGTCTCCTTACAGATATCTACAGCAGCGTGTCCGTTGGACAGACCGAACGTAGTAGACACGCTCCCCACTTTCCATTACAATAGTCATTTGGAGTGGGGGTGTTTATTTAAGATTTATTCGAGGGGGCATTTATTCAAATAAATATGGTATGTTTATATATGTATGTGCACTAATAAATATAAAAATAAATTTATACTGTGCAATTGTGTACTGTACATGTGTGTCAATAAAAATCACATTATTTAATTAATGAAAAATCAAGGAAAACCCCTAACTGCATATTTTTCTAACTTGGCATTTAGACGGGTGGCCATCAGATTGAAAGTGCTCGAAATTTTTTTTTCGTAGGCATCTTTTTTTGTTACAAGCTGGCAACAAGGTGAATCACCAGCTATTGGCTCACGGAATGGGCTGTTGTCACGCTGAATTTTGGATTTAAGTGCCTGTGTCGGTATGCGTGATCGACGGCAAGGAAATAATGATGCAGGGCAGTTTCCTGATGGGGGAAATCGTCTTTCTTTCGGCGCAGTTGCATATTAGATGGTTCTTGTGATTTGTTGCGAAGAATTCAGCTGTTGTGGGACTGAATGATGTTTCCCATGTTTCTGGAACAGATAGCTAACTTTAATTTTGTTGAATAACTACAGGAAATTGTTTTTTAACCAAGTTCAGGAATGTCGGTTTTCACAGCTTTGTTGAAATTGTACCAGGTGACGTTTCGTTTTCTTTTAGGCTTCTTGTTTCCAGGTGATGGTTTGAACTCATTTGTGCTGGAAGCCGCCCTCCGTTAACGGTCCTACTAAATACCACACGGGACCACTCGCGACCACTCGAGACCACACGGGTGCAAAAATGGTTAAAATATTTCCACACGAGAGTATAAAACTGCTATATAATCAATAAAAACCAACTTTTTACAATGCCAATTGTCCAAAATATGGTAAAAATGAATTTTTTTAAAACAGGTTTTTCCGCCGCGCTTCGGAAGGTAATGCGTTGACATTGAGGTTCTGTAACGCATTCACGTCTCCAGAAACGCGTTCAACCTTGACCTCTACCACATTCATTACGTACGTTATAGTCCGGTGGCTTATGTCATCCCGTGGGAATTTCGTGATCATTTTGTTTGTTTTTTTTAATTATATGCTTTGAAGTATGCTGAATCGAATAAAATGAGTCGCCAATTTTTTTACGCTCATCTTCATATGCAAATTAGCTGAAATATGCAAATTAGGTCTGAAAATGTAGGGTACTTATATCTTGGTAACCACAAGTCGCAGAAAGTTGCTTCTTTCTTAAAGTTGTTCAGAACATGCATGTTTCTAT